GGCCTCGTTCCCTCAGAATAGCAAGTGGCAAGTGTCTTCAGAGACTTAGACTCCAGCATACTTGACCCCAATGATTTCTCTCATAAATCAGGTTGCAAGTCAAAACTCAGATTGTTTGCCAGTTTGCTTTCTTTTTCAGACACACAAAGAATGAGAGCGCTCATCCAATGGATGTAACCCCTCAGTTTCAAAGTATAGAAGTACTCACGGACCTAGTGAGATGAAATATGGCTGCATAGTTGAATGGCTTTGTTAAATGTAAGTACAATAAAATAACATAAAAGAACCAAATGCTTGTTTTCTATGAAATATTTCAATTTTACTGAGCTGTACAAGTTCTTGAAGGAATTATTCATATTGAAAAATACGGATAAATTGTGAACACATTTGTTGTCACGGTAAGCCTTAGTGCAAGTGCTGTTTATCCCAAAATGAGCATAGGTCTAACCACTATTTTCTCAGTATTATGCAACATTTTATAATTTTGGGAAGCAACTGCAGCAATGACGTACGTAAATACTTCTGTTTTGATATTCCTGAGCAGCAACACCAAACAATTTTTAGAGCATGTACAACAAATGTCTATATTAATGTTGTGCACAGTCTTCACAGAACACTTAAAACTTTTCTTCTTCAAGATTAAGGAAAGCTAAATTTATTTATTTATTTAAAAGTCAGCATTCGCTTTGTTTTTTCCCTCAAAAATTGGGATCATACAGTGGCTGCATCCTGTCTCCCTCCATGTTAATAAAGTAGGTTATAAAACATAAATGACACTACAATTTCTGTTCACTGGCACTTAGACTAGCTCAATTAGTCTCAGAATAACTTTTAGTCTTCATAGCTTTCATGAAAGAAAATTAAAATATTGAGACCTCATTCACAGTTAAACTTAATTTCAGAATTTTGGAGATGCATCTATTTCCAAGGATGTGGTATTTGTCATGTTTGGAGTTTCAAAGAAAATTAAATCCTAAAATACCTTCAAATTTTAAGAGCTGTAAAATAATTTCTTATCCTACAGAGGAAGGTGCAGTTGAAGTGGAGATGGATTCCCTGAATAGGCTACAGAATGTAAAAAGTAATATTCAGCATGTATCTAATTTCTCTAAATAAAAGGCATAGCCATACAAGCTAGAGTCTCTTGAGAATCCTTATCCAGGAGAACACAATTACCATTTGCACTAATTGCAGATATATCATGCTCTTACTGGTTGCTGTATCTTTTATGAGAAGTTTAAGAAAGAAGTTACTTTAAATTCAGAAGAAGCTTGTACATAAAATCCATTACAAATGAGGCTTTCAGACTTTTCAAAACTGATGTGTCATCTATTGCATGTTAAAAACTTTCAAAGAAATAATTTTTCGCTTGAGTGGTAAAAAAATGTGGATTAAACTTAAATCATTTAGTTTTGATTGTGTGTGTTTTCATCCAGATAGAGACATTAAGTCATGACTTGCTGATGAAGTTTTCAAAGCTTTGAGTAATAGGTTTTCAAGCCTACTTGAAAATTTTCAGAAGAAAATTTCCTTTGAGTAAGGCACTATTTTTTGCTTTTCCAGCAATTTGGAACTATGGATTCTCCTCACTCAATCCTAGCAACTACACAGCCCCTGGTGGAATTTGTCATTGGTTCCTCTCCACATCGAATTTGCAAATTACAGCAATTACAGGCTTCTAGCTTCAGTGGAATGATGGAGCAACATTGGCCAGGCTGGGGAGGGGCCCAGCTCTATATCAGGATTTCCTTTCACAGCAAACTAATAGCTGCTGAGAGAGCTTCTCATCTGATTGTCCCTCAGAGAAGAGTTTTACTGTCTTCTAGGGAGGAAAAAAAAATAATTGGTTTGCAGACCACTGAAGATTGCTGTCCCCAGGGGAGTTTAGGGACACTGTACTTCAGGTTTCTTCTGGTTGTAAAAGAAAAGAAGTGATCCCTTCAAACCTCAATCCTTTATAGCTTATCTTTTGGCTCCTGGGCCACACTGTGAAAATGTGGATTCTTCCTCTTCCTTTTTTTTGATGATTTCCTAACCTCATTCAGCAATTCTCTGTGGCTTCTGGGCATTCCCAAGAGCTGGTTAGCCTTCCTGTTGTGTAATGCAGAAGGGTTTGGCCCTATGGATAAGATTGGTCTGTGTCCTCTGGTCTCAGTGCCAGCTACTCTTGAGCACATCTTATTTTTATAGCTGTGGACAGCGGTTTAGATGCTGTAGGGATTTTACAATTCTGTTTGCTATTCAGCTGCCTGTTCCTGCTGCCAAGCCTATCTCAGGCACCACACATTTTAAAGAGAAAAAAGAAAGATGGTATGAAGCTGTTCCCTTTTTCACTGGAAGAGGACATTCTCACAGCACTTGCTTTCCTACGTTCAAAGGGGAGCATGTCAGTCTGTATTTGATTTACAGCAAATGTACATGCTTAGGTTCACAAGTGTACTCATTCTTCATAAACGTCTGGACCAATGCTGAATAATCAATCCAGATATGTCCTCATTCCAGCTTCCTGATCACTTGCCAAGGGGATTATGAAGTTTTACACTTTTAGATCCTGATCCTTGGTATTTAGCAGGTGTGGGCAAGTCTTTGCTGAACAAAAATGTAATTTTAATAGAAATCAAAACCGTATGTGATTTTTGTATACAGTCTATAATATTATTCAAAATGGAAATGTTGGGAGACAGTTGGAATTGAATGTATTTGTAATAAATACATGTTTAGAGCTCTTTGGAACAAAATAATTAACTTGTTTTTCACAAAATTTTTACATTTCCTTTCCACTTCAGCTGAAAATACAAATAATCTACTTTATAAAGAAATCTCAGTAGGCTCATAAGTAGATTTTAAATTCATATTAAATATTAATGGTGGTTATTTTATGTATGTCTAAAATGTGTGTATGTTTTTAGGGAATTCTAATAAATAAATATTGACTTCAGTGCTATTGTTTTTCTGCTTTTATTCTCTTTTTCTTTGTTGCAGATTACTGACATGTGATTATCTACCTTTTAGATGTAGTAATGTAGAATCTTCTGGCCAGTGATTCTATCAAATACACAAATCTTAAATTCATTTGGCATTGCTAATTCTTCTCAATATGAACAATTATGCCATCTATATGTTCAGCCATTGTTATCAAACTAGTCTGAAATAGAATGTTTATTTTATAAAATCAAACCAAAACCCAAACACGTTTCATTAATCCTTGCTGTTCTATTAAAAAGTACATACATTATTTCAGGTTTTTATTTCTCTTTATTTTTTCTAAGCAGCATCTGTTGTTTCTTCCACTTTCCCCAACTGAAGACCAACATTCATGTGGTTTTACTGAAATCCCAGAGGGTAACAGTAATTCCTGCTACAAAATGCAACTGATGATTTTCAAGAAGTTAGTGGGTATCTGTTTGTCTGTGGTTTTGCATAGCACAGGCGATGTATACAAGCCCCTTTTGGTATTTCTAACCTGTAAGAGAGATACCCTGTAACTTAGAGAATGTTCTTTTCACTGTAAAAAGCTGAAAGTTTTGCTAACCTTGCTTCCTTCACTTGCAAATCCAGTGCAAGAAATTATCAAAATAAATAGTTGTGACAGTTATCACAAGCAAAAAAAATAGTTTCTTAATGCTAAATTATGCATATTAACAGTGGTGCAATGTCCTAAGTACTTCACCCAAATGCGTCACACATGCAGTGCTTTAAACTTGCAAGCAAGATCTCTGTTCGTATGAGACTACTTGTTTAATAAGCATTTTGTGGCAAACAAAACATTTCCAAATGTGGACTCTGATGTAGCTGATTAGAAATAGTTTTCTATTATCTAATTATCTCATGTGTCGTATTTGTTTACTTGGTTGTGTGGCTTTGTAGGATATGCTGGAAAAAAGCCCAAAACAAACTACATTCGGAACGGAAATAAGCAATATAC